TGCTTGTTACACATTTCACTTACATTGGTATTACCTGTTGAGCATAATTAAAATTTGATGTTGAATTTGCAGTTAAGCATAATGTACTTTTGCATCAGAATTGACAGTAGCCCGTTTTGTGCATTGTTATTGTCTGCTTTTTGTCTGTACATTTGACAGCTTTGCTGCCTTGTTCCCAAATACAAGGAAAAGTAATGTATAATAATTTAATGGTACAAAACATTCACTACCAAATATTGTAAACCATTTTCAAATAATAATAATAATAATAATAATAATAATAATAATTACAAATTAGAATTTGAATGAAAAATAAGTGTAATTATTCAATGATTTTCAATTAATATTTCTCATGAGGTTTATAACTTACACATACTTTTTACTGTCATTATTAAAGGGGGAAGGCTACATTTAGCATTAATTACAGAGTTAAATCACCAACAAAGCCTTTCAAATCACCAGTCTGCTATATCAACAAAGGAAAATATTCAAAACACTATTTGGTAGAAGCTTGGTCTTTGCCGATAAATTTGCTCCTTCTCATGCTGCAATTGTCTCTGTGCATTTTCCAGCTACCGCATGTGTGAAGTCAAGCATACGCCGCTTTACTACAAATAGTATTTCATATCACATCACATATTTTCACAAGACACCAAAAAAGTACTACTATTTCAATGTATTTTTGAGATACTGAGCTAACACTTGGTCACACAGTGCATGAGCAAATGAAACAGGAAAGCCATTTTTGTGCTCCATCTTTATATGCTGGTGATGCATTACTATCGTTTGAAAAGTAGCCAATCACATTCAACATTAGTTCACAGCATTGGACAAATGAAACCTGCAATCAGATTAGCTATATATATTATTTGGCGAGGCACTGAGAATCCAACTAGTCCAACAAAACCAGTGCATGTACACTTGGGTATTCCACTCAAGATATATTTGTTATTTTTAATGATAGGTTTACATGTTATGTACAGTGCACTTACGTAATTTCATGGATTTTAAAAGTAAAAAATTGGACCTAGTGCCCACGATTCTAGGGTGACCTGTAGTGACACATCAAGTTTAAAACATAATTTACAATTTTGATATCTTTCAACAACTTCTGTGCACCGAATTTCCTTAAGTTTTAAGCTGAAGTATAATGCTTAATCCATGTTTTTTTATGTAACTAAATACTTGGATAATATTACACTGCATTATGTAGCCGTATATTAGTGCTTCAAAAACAGTCTATTGCTGACAAGCATATCATATAAGAGCACATGGTATACCTATAAACAAACTTTTAGTTCCACCTGATACCCAGAGCTATATCATAAAAGCCTATTGCTTAACTCCAGCAATCTCATGATCCTAGTATATCGGATAGGATATAGAGAGTACAAATTTCCTATAAGGAATACAATTCAATTGGTTGAACTGATAATCTATGCCAGCTGTTAATAAAATGATTGAATTTCTCTCCTCATCCTCAGCACTGTATCCAGTCTACCTCCACTGCTGCTGTGGGTATGGATATCCTCCTTGCTGTGGTGGATACTGGGGTGGATACTGTGGCGCCCCCTGTTGGGGGTATGGTGGTGCCCCCTGTTGGGGGTAAGCTGGTGCCCCCTGCTGGGGGTACTGTGGGGCACCTTGTTGTGGGTATTGTTGTGGGTAACCCCCTTGTTGTTGATGACCCATGTAAGGGTTATATGGGTTGTATCCACCAGGCATTGGCATTGGCGTGTATTGTGGGTATGGTGATGGTTGGCTGTAGGGGGCAGCACCATATGCTGGACCTGAAGTAGAGAAGCAGATCAGTAAAGAATTTATCATTCAAGGCATCATATATTGGGCATAATAAGCAAGTCTATAAACAACAGAATTAGTCTAGACAGAAAGCATTTTTTCATTCATAACTTATGCTAAGAGTACAAATCAAACAAATAGAAATTGAAATCAGTCAAGTGAATAAATAAAACTGGAAAAACATCTTTTAAACATTAAAAAGAGCAAAGAACACAAGGCAGACGAGAACTACCAACTTAAAACAGTTTTCAAATGAAATACAAACCAAATTATAAATAGGAAACAAAATAAAATTACCCTGACTACCAGGCTGAGAGGGGTAAGGTAACTGAGAGGGGGGACCAGAAGAGGGGGCCTGAGATGGTGCACTGGCACCACTCGTTGGTGGCCCCTGAGGTGGTGCACTATAACTGCTACTAGGTGGAGCCTGAGTGGGGGCTGAAATTAAGGCACAACTAAGTCAAATTTGCAACAGTAAACATATTGAAACTATCTTAAAAGAGGCTAACAGAAATTGAAGTAAGCAACAACACTTTTCCTAGGACTTAGCACATTTCTATCTCTTGTGAAACTGAAACTGGATGATAATGATAGATGATAGAAGAGGTGAATATATCATATAAGACACAAGCTTCTTTTTTTTTCTCTGACAGATTCCAGCTAGGTTACTTTCACACAGAAACAAGATTTAAGTTGAAATAGGTATTTAAACTGGAATAGTTAAATCTTAATTTCACAATGAATCTCTCTCTCTCTCTCTCTCTCTCTCTCTCTCTCTCTCTCTGACTCACCACTAGGTGGTGCCTGTGCTGTAGCTGGCAAGGTTGGAGGGGGTGGCCTGGCAGGCGGCACTCGTGCTGCAACAATGAATCAATCACTTAATCAAGACCTGTTTTCAAAAATCATGTAGATCATCATTTCATTCAACAGAATTAAATCATCATATCTTAATATATAGAAAAAAAAAAACATTTAAAAATATTTTATGAAAATGGTAGTGTATGGGAAAGCATAGAAGCACATGTGTATCCATGCACAAGTTCATACAGCTGCACATGTTCACATTCACAAATATCACATGTAAATGCACACACACACACATGCACACACACGTTTACCAACTACTGACTCCAGCATCACCTGTATGTACATGGGAGCATGTGCGCGTCCACACGTGTGTGCTACTTACGCTGCTGGTAACTAGGTGCAGCAGGTGTCGGCGCTGTCTTCTGATTGGCTATGCTGGACTGTAGGTCTTTCATCATGTCCTCTTTTTCCGTCTTCCGTGCAAAGCAGAAGTCTGTCACTTTGTTTTGGAATTTCACCAGCAGCTGGGTAAGGTCATTGTAGAACTAGAAAAAAAAATAATTAAAAAAAAAATTGATAAAACATAACAGAAGAAAGTCGACTTGTATTAACTCATACTAGTGTTGCTTGCTGAACATCATTAAGATATATTAAATTTTCTGTACTGTGTTTATACAGTAAGTGCCTCTGCCATTATGCCTCTGCCATCTGCAGACACTAATTAAAATTAAACGTAGTTTGAGAATGCCTGACTATAAATCAATAACAAAATTAAAGGCAACATTTAAACTGAATACACACACCAGGGGTGGATTCAGGCCGTCTTCTGGGTCTTCCAGAAGACGGTCAGATATTCAAGTTTACATTGACGGGTATCTATTTTTTTCTGTCGGAAGACGGGTCAAAAATGGAGGATGGATCAACAAATATAATATGGAAGACTGTCAGAAAATACCTCTGGATCCGCCCCTGCACACAAAGTTAAGAGTTATATATTTGCAATCATTTCCTTTGAACCTTTCTCGCATTGCTGTAATCATTACTTGTTTACTTATGTTTACCCAGTAAACATGACTTAATTAATAGTGTATAGAAAGTTTGGTAAATTTACTATAGGATGAAATGTCAAAGGCTATAAAAATAAACATTTTATGTAACCTTTGTGCCTTCCTCCAGGTTGCCCTTGAGTTCTCGGAATGCATCATAACCCGACTGGAGCTCCTTCAAGATCTTCTCTCTTTCTGCTGCGCTCTGGTTGGAGTCCCTCTGGCGACAGAAGTCCATGTTAACTCTCTGGAATAAGGTGTAAAACACAAATAACTAATAACAGCAAACAAATATACTGCAAAATTCAGCAGTGAATTATATGCACATGATAGAAATTTTACAGTAAGAGGGTAATAAGACAAATTATATTAAATAAACATATTTGGAAGCCCCTTCCCAATTCTCTTGCGAAAAAGATGCCTTTGGTTAGCACATTGCATTGTTTCATACGTGACATATATACTCAAATGTTTTATCATAAATAACCATTGCTGTCCTCTACATTCACCTGATATGGTTATGTGAAGAAATAAAGAAAACTTAAAAGATTATTTCATTATTAACAAATAACTAAAAGTTGTATCACAAAAAACACCTCACCTCCACGTTAATCATGATGGACTCTTGTCTCTCACAACTTTCCTGAACTTGCTGTTGTAGAGGACCATATATGCGGTCTAATTCTGCCGCAGACAGGCTCTCCTCGTTAATAGCACCATCTTGGGCTAAGGCAGCCATAAACTTTGAAGCTGGAAACATCATCAAAAAAGGACTGTTTTAAAAATATTCTAGGTTAATTATTGTGCTTATAATAAGATTTTCAAAAAGGAAAAGAACAATAGCTTTAAGGCCCATGCATGTGTTTGTACAGAAAATGCCAGACATAAGCATTTCAGTTACATTTGACAACCATTATGATGATTCTTACAGGATAAATTCAAACCCAAGCTGAAGAGTGAAATTCCAATGATTAGCTTAAATTTATTAAAATTGACTTGTCAAAAAACATCCTTTTATTTTTTCACTTATTGTACCTTAAAATGAACCCATGCCTATATTCACTCTGTTGTGAGTGCGCTGAAAACAGTGCACTTACTCATATCACATTTTTGCTCTTTGATCTCCATCTCAATGGCATCCCTCTCTGCCTTGATGGCCTCCACCTGCTGCATCAGTGTTCTCAACTCCTTCACTGTAGGGCTGTCCTTCAGGGCTGCAGCAGGGCTGGCAGACGGCAGGGCACTTTTTAATTCCTATGTGTAAATATGTAAATTAATAAATAAACATACAAACACACACATTAGGCTATCGTTTCTTGTTCTTCACCATTTTAGGCAATTTCGTAACTGAACTGGAAATTATGAGCAATAAATAGCAATGATTAAAATGTTTAATAAAATATTGGTAAAAGGAGCTGTTGGCATCGAGCCTGCATTTCCATTGAAGAAACAGAACAGTGAAAGTCTGCAATACATGCTAAAGATTATTAAAACAGATTTTCATATACGGCATCAGCCTGTGAGATAAGAACAAGTTGACTGTGATAAAGTGAAAAAAAATGTCACAAAAAGTAGAATTTTACCCCTGGGTTGCTCAAAAGCTTAATTGCTCTCTCATTTTCACTGTATTTGGCTTTCACAATCCCATCTGCCTTGATGGCATTGTCTAAAATTCCTTGGTATTTAGCTGCCTCTGCTCGTATTGGCTCTGTCAGCTTTATAGATGGCGTTCTTGTCCACCTTTCCTTGAACTGTTGTCTAAGCTGATCATCTGATGCTTGCTCCTCATCAAGTAATTTTATTGCCTGAAACAGAATTAGATTACAATGTGAATAAATAAATAATATAAAATATATAAATATTGAAAATAGGAACATTTCCAGATGAATAATGATGATTCAAACAAACAGCTGTAATACCTACTTTATTTTTTTTAACTGTATTACTTTAATAGTGTTTGATATGGCAATGTAATACTTATTTCACAAACCATACTAGTACATAAAATGCATTTTTTTACATCCATTTTTAGATTTCATGCTTACACTGTTTCAGTTTCTGTTACATAACAAACAAAGGCTAAATATATCTTGCGGCAGAAATTGGCCTTGGTTTGCGAAATGTTAAATAATTAAGATGAAGAAGATGTTTAATTCTGCAAACTAAGACCCACTTGGCTGGACTGTAGGTAAAAAGAAAAATTAGTACAACCAGGTAGTTTTACCTCCCCAAGTATCTCCCTATTTCTTGCCAATGATTCTGGCAGATCCTGCATCAGTTGAGCTATGTGGTTTATTCCTCCCTCCGACTGAACTTTCTGCGCCTTTTCCATCAAAGATGGTGGCACATCGCTCCCTGAGAAATCCTCTATGGATGCAGGAAGGTTCAAAGAGGCCAGAACACTGGAATCACATTAGATTGTGTTGGATGAGATACATGTCAATAATCAATTGTGTTACATGTGATAAATGTCTAGAAACAATTGTGTTAGATATCATAAGATACACATCTTGAAGCAATGGTATGAGATTACATGAATTTCAAGTAATGATATGTAATAAGTAGCAACAATGTTTATTTTAGTACTCATGGCAAATGAAATGTAACTGGAAGAAGTATGTTAATTGTTTACTGTGCAAGTTACTGATCCCAAAACCATTGTGCTGAGCTGCTTGAAATAAAGTGCAGGACTCTTTTAGACTAAAATATGAAATCAATGAGGATATATCTGATAATTTTATGTATCCCATGTAAAATGGTTGCACATATTTTCACTTCACTGAATATTTTTTTTCCAGTCTCTACTTATCAAATGACTGCACTACCACATATTTGTATTCTTACCTGTTCATGAGCTGTGTCTGCTCTCGTAGCTTGCCCACAGCCATCTGTACCACCTGTTCTTTCTTGTTCTCGTGGGTCATCAGGGCCTGGTGGACATTCAGAGGAACTAGCTTCTCAAACAAATCTGAAGACATATTAACATATTTGGTTACATTAACCCTCCTAAGACAGATTAATATATATTAGGTTAATATACTTCAAAGAAGCTCTCAAAAAGAAAAAAAGTGATAATTTGAGAATAATTTGGTTATTCAGCAGGGATAGCCTCCTTAGAAAAGTCTACAGAAAAATAAATAAAACTATTTATGTTTACTCAAACAAGCCTTAAAAAACACTAGAATATTTTGGAGTCAGTAGAACTAGCTTTTCAAACAAGTCTGAAGAGACATACATAAATCACTCTAGGATTATCTGCTTACAACCTTAAAACCACTTTATGATATTTTTGACTTTCAATGCTACTGTTTTTTTTTTTTTTTTTTTTTTTTTCAAATTTGTCTGACAGTGAGCATTGGTATGCATTCAAATAAACACAATGTTTATTAACTACTTAATTATTCTTTAGTTTGATAAAGAATACTGACATAGTAAACTTCTGTATTCCCAGGCTTACAGTTAATTTAAAGGCCAAAATGTACACAGCGACATTAACAAATAAACAAATAATGATATCATATGTTTCAAATATATTTCTCTGTCTTTATAGTTAAAGAGCGATTTTAAATTGCTTAGCTCCCTGTATAAAATTCTAGTTAAGCACCTTTGAAATCACTTCCCATAGGAGAAGCTATAGGAATTGCTTTGGCTACAGGTGCTTTCCCTATGGGATCCAGGTTACCCCTGCTTGGAATCTTATCATGGTAGATAAAGTTGTTGTCCTTTTCTGCCGAATCCAAGGCACGCTGTATTTTAGCCATTTTTTCTGAGAAGTTCACTTCTTTGCCACCCCTGGTAACTGCAGCTTGCATTAGCTCTTTGGCATGCTGAAATAATAATAGGAAGAAGAAGATTAAGACAATTAACATCTTGGAAACATTTAGAGAATATGTATCACATCTTTTAAAGGGAGAGACTTTTTTACATCTATGCATCTGTCTAACATGAAAAATCATGTACTGTATGAAATACACTGACCTTTGGTCTAGCTGTTTAAGATTTACCCACAGTCAATCTATCAATGATTAACCTGTGCTCTGTAGTCTAGCTGTCAGACTGAGAGGCATACCCTCTGTCTAATGTTTCCCATTGTCAAACTATCTGAGATTTTCCCAGTCTATTTGTTTGAGTATTTCCCATTGTCCAGCAATCCAAGATTTACATGCAGCCTAGCTATTCAAGATTGGCCTTTAGTCCAGCTACTAGCTGTCTATATATTTACATATAGTTCACCTACCAGTTGTCTATAAATTTACCTGTAATCTAGCTATCTCCTCCCCATATGCGTGGTTCTGCTGACACACCATGGCCTGGTGATACTCTGCCATGGCATGGTACGCTGCCTGTTTTCCCGCTGTGACGCTGATCCAGTTGGGCGGCCATAGCTCTCTGATGGAGTACATCTGCAGCTGTCTCATAGCCTCCGCGTATAGGTCTGAGCACTGGTTACAGAGCTTGGCTGTAACAGCGTCCTTCATTTTATCTTTGAAAGGAAAAAAAGAGACAGTTAACTTTGGTAGATAATACTAGCCGAAAAAATACCATTTTAATAATTCTGAAAATGCAAATGTCTGTCCTACCTTCAATTCCTTCAGGCAGTAGCTCATACTGTAGTTTCTTGCAGTTTTCAGGTAAGTTAAATAGCATGCATTTACTTCATTTGACATTGGCAACCATTTCATTATTTTCATACCATTTTGTTGCCTTTTTTCATATTACAGTTTAGTTTTGGGTTAAGTTCAAAAGTTACCTGCAATAGCTTTCAGGCAGTTACGCTTCTGGGTGTGTGTTAATAAGAAAGCTTTCTAGGAGTGGGGAATCACCTACTTACCTGCAATAGCTTTCAGGCAGTTACGCTTCTGGGTGTGTGTTAATAAGAAAGCTTTCTAGGAGTGGGGAATCACCTACATACCTGCAATAGCTTTCAGGCAGTAGCTCTCCTGGGCGTGTGCTAACATGAGAAGCTGGAGTGCAGTCAAGGTATCTGTGGTAAGATCTGGGGTGGTGCCTTGTGGTACTAGGGACATCACACTCTCACTAAGGTAAGTATATATGCCTGCTGCTTGCTGAAAGTCATATATGAAACATTTTTATTGGCTTCACATGCAGACATAACTGAACTTGGCAATACTGCAATCTTTTACTTGGGTAATGGATTTGAAAAGTCACTTGCCAAAACAATATTGTGGTTTGTACAAGGAAGTTTTAACTTGCATCCTGAAAACCAACAGTTGAATCCAACATGTTTTACACATAAACACACAAACAAACAAAATTGTAAAACAACGATATCTCTTCATATACACGTGCTCTCTCTCTCTCTCTCTCTCTCTCTCACACACACACACACACACACACACACACAGGAATATCATATCTACCTGATACATTTTTGCACTCATTTTCAGTCCCTCATCTGACTCATGGTTTTGAAGTTGTCCTATCTGACTTTGAAGTGCTGCTATGTTGAACAGTAAACACACTTTCTCATAAGCAGCCGAGGAAATACCTGTAATAAAGGATGAATTACATCACATACCGTCAAGAAATGCTTAGAAAAGACAATTATATTCTTCACAAATTTTCCTTCCACTGGTTTCAAATTTGTACAAAATGGTATGGTAACTAGTCAGTGACATTAGCCTCCAATCTCAGGCTAACAGCTGTAAATTTTGTACTGATAAAAATATTGGATTTTACACAAAGTTAATAGTCCAATAAGATAAGTGGGATTTTTTTTTTAAATTGTTGATTATTTTTTGTTGTCAACATTTAACATTTGGGTTTTTAATTTCAACCAGACTAGTAGCTTTCTGACGTGCTATAATACTGCCTGGTTAATCCCCACATAGCACTTACTTAATGTGTTCTTTCCACCAAAAAAAGTTTCTTTATCAAATGCATCTTGCCATTTGAAATTGATACGGATCTAAAATAAGGAATAAAAAATAAAAGAAATACTTAGATGATGATAATGTTCAAAGTATTACAGAGTACAAGTACAAACCAAAGTTACACTAGATATAATTGTATCATTTCAACACAGTGATAAAAGTATGTTTCCATACTTTATTAACAACAAGGTGAATATCTTAAAAGTTAATTATCAACAAAACATTATAGGTGAACATCAACAAAATAATATTCCACTACCCTACCTGGTTTTCTGCCATGGGAAGTTTTGCCTCAATTGCTACTAACTGGTCATGGTATCTAAAAAATAATATTTTATATATAAAAAAAATTTAAAACACAAGTGATTACTAAACAATAAAAAAGAAATAAGAAGAATGGTAACATTGTTGCAGTTTTCAATATTATAAAACATACCAATTTCCTTGGTATTTTTTCACCATTCTTACATTGTAAATCATAACATTTCATGCTAGTTCATTCACTTCTTAAAAACCACATACTACATAGAAAGTGAAATCTCTGGAAGCCATGACAAACTTGAAGGTCACTTATATATAATTTATCCATTCTTACCTTTTTTTGCTAGTTGTGTATTCTTTTACATGAATGAATTGTCATGGCTTGTCAACGAGATAATGCTTCTTTCCAAACTAATTTTCATGTTGAAAGTATTTTCTTTTTATGGCATTAGTCTTAAAACATTCTAGATGCTATAAACTGTGTCTTATTACTGAAAAACTTAAAAGGGGTTGTTTTGTGACTGTGATACAGAGTTTAAAAGGATAAAATGTTTGTTTCGGTCAAAAAATGTTTTTTTCCTTGGGTAAATGGCAATTTCCCATACTACCAAATGGTTAATGAATCCATTCTAACATTCAAAGTTAGTCTATGTTTTTAACTAAAAAGTTTGGTTTATATTACTACGGAGTAAAGACAAATGTCCACGTGGTCTAATGGCAAGCACAGATTCCACAAAAATTCCGATAACCTCTGTTTTGGTGGTAAAATGGAATTAATTATATTTCTATGTGTTGTTTACAATGTATTGGTCATGAAATATTTATCTCATGCGAACAGTTGTTATCCCTTTGAGTTTGAGTGTGTGTGTGTGTGTGTGTGTGTGTGTGTGTGTGTGTTTGTTTTCCAGATTTTGTTTTATATACAGTATGTACAAAATAAGTCAGTCAATCGTATTTGCAATCAGGTCTCCACTGATGAAATGAGTTTGTCGTAGTTTAGAACTAACTGTAATAATTACCATGCTTACCTCAAACACACGTTAATGCTGACTGTACATAGCAATGCACACACACTGTCATGTAAGCATGAGTCATGTCCAAGTAGATTGAAAACAATAAAACATTTTCTTCATCTAAATTACTAGTAGTACATGTCCCTGTATATTTAATTTTTGAAATAATATAAAGCCAACGCCCGTATTTTGACGTTGGTTAAAATTCACATATTTAATCTTATCAGGAAATACTGCCTTGATAATATTTTTAGTTGCTTATCATAGACTCAACACGTAAACTAACCGGTAGAGAACGTCTAAGGCGGATTCATGTCTGTCCATTGACTTGGATATCATCTGACTTCGCAATCTATCAAAATCTTTCAGAGCCTGGTTAAAATCCTCGATGTTATAGTCGGGGTACGTCGTCTGAATGAACCCCCGAAGAGGCCCAGCCATCTCGACTTCCCAGCACTTCTTCATAGGCACTGCAATGAAGTTCGCCATTTTGAAAAATGTTATGTCATGTGACCGGAGACGTCATTTGACCCCTGACCTACACTGGCCACTTCCTACTTATTTGGCCTACACAAGTGGCGGATTTAGGAGGTGTCGGGGGATCCTGACCCAGGGGCGGATTTAGGCTGTCTTCTGGGTCTTACATTTATCAAGTTTTTATTGACGGGCATCTAATTTTTTTTGTCTGAAGACGGTCAAAATTAAATGGAGGCTGGATCAGCAAAGATAATTAATTTGTGAAGACTGTCAGAAAATATCTCTGGATCCGCCTCTGACTGACCCCCCCCCCCCCCTCCGATTTCTGAAAAAAAAACACCAATGGTCCCGTCTTGAAATAAGAATGTTGACTAGCTGAAACATATAGTTTTAAACCGTACCATGCAAATGGCACCGCGTACGTATGTTCTCACTCAAATACAAAATACCAAATTTTTCAGGAACTACGTGCCAAGGGAGGGGGGGGGGGGGGGTGGCTTTGCATCCGCGGACCCCCCTTCAAATAATCCTGGATCCGCCCCTGATCACACAAATCATGCATTCAAATATATTATATATTTGTGAATTCATAAATTGTATATATTGTAATTTCACATTCGTGGGGTTAAATATGACACAGTATATCGACAGAGTAAATAAGAATAATCATAGATCTACCGTAGATGAAAATAAAAAAAAAGTGATTTAGTTTTAACCTCGAGTATAGAAATGAATAAATTAATTTATAAATAAATAGATGTTAATAAATAAATAAATATAAATTCCGTTTTTTCGGGTTTTCGGAAAGAATAGCCTTAAGTAAATTATATTTGAAGTAGTATTTTGAAGCAAAGAGGTCTACTGCAAAAAGAAACTGAAAGATCGACTGCATTGATTGTGAATGCGTTAGCTGCGTCTTGGTGACCCGGAAGTGCTTCTGAAAAGAACGAACCCGTGGAATCTTCCAGCACAATCGTGGGCTGCATATATTTATTTTTGGCCTACCGCAGAAGCCGGTTATCGAAGTAGGGCGGTTGAGGAAAAGTCCAGAAATCCAGAGTTACACTTAAATACTGCCAAGCGGAGGAAAGAAGTCATTTGGACGAACTGAATTTAGGAGAAGTTTTCAAGTAAGCTTTGTTTGGTAAGTTCATAGTCTTTTTGGTAAATGCCATAAAAAGCAACGGCTCATTTCATTTTAAACGTTGTTTACGCGCTTGGATTGCATACACTCTTTTGGTAACAATTGGAAGTTAAAAAAGGTCATGGCATCTGTAGGTAGGTAACAAAGAGGAGGGCGGCACGGCTTTTACTTCGTGCGACTTGAACTGGATATATTTTGGACAGCGTGTCCTTGACACATTAATTTCTGTTGCCATGCTGCCTCATTTGTAGGTTTTCAAGTTGAAATTATGTGAAAATGCAATCATCTGATTAGTCTTACATCTAATAAAAATTGAATGCAAAATTCTGCTGCAGTCAAATTGTAAACTAAAAAAATGACTTTGGTGTAAATCACTTACATCTTTATTATTTTTATCATAATAATAATAATTATTATTATTAAGGTTTTGTATTAATAAAAGCAACAGCTGATTATATTTGAAATATATTTAACTTGTGAGATTGAATAAACTTGAGACTTGAGAGCCCTAGTCATGCTTTCACTTTCAGTTTGTATTTAGATTTGTAATAAAGGAGCTCAGATATCGTGTGTATTGAAACTGCCCAGGGGATTTTTTTTGTGACAGATCTAGCCCAATGTGTTCTATAGTTGGATATGACATCATGATTTCCTTTCGAAATCTGAATTAAGAGTTTCAGGCCAGTTAACAGGCCAGTTAAAAATGGTTAAATGATATTATTTATAATTAACACCCTAGATGAAGGAGGCAATCAACTTTAAACACTGCTCGAGCATTAAGAACTGCAACATTGTTTGCACTTAAAAAAAAAAAAAAAAAAGACTGGGAGAAAACATGGAAGATAGTAAATCTAAAAAAAATAAGGGTTTTTTCCGTTTGAATTACCAGGTGATTATAGATGTGTAGGGAACTTTAATTACTAACACTGGGCGTTGGGGAAGTGATAAAGTCATAGGAAATGGCAGCCATTATTTTATGATGGGCTAATTCTCCCGCTGGAATAGGTACCTGCATGGCAATGTGTGATCTGCATGCAAATACAAGACACACGAGCTCTTGGTTGACCTGGTTTTATATGCTGCCATGATTATAAAATAAACCAAACAGGTCATTCAGGTCCTTATGTCTGGAAGTCATATAGTCATAAACAAGACGAGGTATAGGCTGAAAAAAGGTGCAATTTTTTTTTTAAGAAGAAATAAATAAGTTACCTTAGCTTATTCCTTATTAATAACAATTTAGTTTGATTTCTCTATATGGGTTTATTATTTTGTGAAGTTTTGTTAGTGATATAACAAATAACAAACCAAAAATGGACTGAAACAAGAGTTGCCTTTTTCTTGTAGTCTCATGAACCCCCCCCCCCAAAAAAAAAAAAAAAAAAAAAAAAAAAAAAAAAAAAAAAAA